GAAACTCCAACACCCGTATTTTCACCAGTGTACATTTCCTGCTACCAAGGTCCCGTCCCTACCATACCACCACCTTAGCCTGCCTTGATAGCAGACATTTCCCTCCCTTTCTCCCTAGTCACTATGCTAGAGTGAACTTTAACTTTTATCTTGACTCTCTGGCATTTGGTAAAGATATACGTTGTCTCAACACTAATTTTCCTCTTGCAATAGCTGCAGGAAAAAAAAGATGGTGTTCAGGAGCTAATCAGCTTGGTGTTAGGCTCACTTTCAGCAGTGTTTGAGGGACATTAGGCGATGCTGGGGATCAAACACCCAAGCCTTCCACAAGCAAAGCATGTGTTCCAATCCTTTGAAACGTTGTCTTCTATATTTCTAAGCCATTTTTACATTGGCTATGATTTCTCGAACCACACTAAGAAAGCAGAGCAAGCACTCAGCCTTTCATGGGACCACCTTCAACTTTTCAGCCTAAGTCTGATGTCTAGGCTGTTTTTGTGGTTTTAATTATGTTTGGTTCTCATCCTGTCATTCTTCTCAATTTCAGTTCCCTTTCTGCTATTTCCCTTTGTACCCAACAAGAAAGTGACCAGAAATTTCAGGGTTTTCTTCCCTATTTTCACTATGTTTCAGGGGGGAAAATTCTGTGTGGATTGCTTGTTAGCCATCTTTTCCCTCCAGGACAGGAAAAAAAAAGAAAGTGCGTATGTTACAAATGTAAAGCATTTTTTTCTGGCTTACCGAACAAGAGGAGGTCTAGTCTTGCTTAGGTTCGAAGCAGGAGCCCCCAACCTCACTGTCACTGACATTTTGGATCCTATAGGAAATTATCCCAACTTTAGCAGCATCTCTGGCCTTTACTAACCAGAAGCTTCCCCTGAGTCATAGCAACATCTCTAGGCATCACCAAAAATGCCCTTGGAGAGCACCATCATCCCTGAATATCTGTGGGTCAAGTGAGTAGATGCCATGGACTCCACTAAAGCCCAAGCTTGTGTCAGATGAGAAGCACTCATCTTTAATGCCATTCTTTCAATGCAATCTTTCCACACTACTCATCTGATACTTTCTCTTTTTTACTTGTCTGAAGGTGACTGACAGCAATGGCTAGTAAGTCATGCAGCTAATTCACCCTGAAAGCTTAGTTTAGCACATCAGAAATTCACCTCATACCTGCACTTAAAGCCCCCGCATACTTCTGTTAACCAGCACAGTAGACTCCAATGTGTAGGCCTCCTGAGGTGTCTCAGTGTCGTCTGAGGACTAGAGGAAGGGCACAGTGACTTAAAGTACCCACTTAGCAAGTGTACGGCCACAGTCCAACCACCTGGGGTCCCACTGTGATAAGAGACTGCAACAGGTCCACTGCGGGACAGGGAGATCTTCTCTCTGTGACTTCTAGTACCACTGCTCCAGGTGGGTGTCAGCACCACAAAGAGGAGAGTCACCTCAGGTAAGTGTGACCCCTGGTGAGCACATGGGCAAGCTCTGCAACTGGCCGATGACCCCAGGGTACATCACGGCAGAAGTGGGTAGGCATAGCAGCCATGCAATTAGGCAAACCTTGGTCTTCATAACAACATCAACAAAAAGAAAGGGCATGGAAAGAAGACTCTTCCAAAGGGCCACTGATGTCAAAATTGTTCATCATTATTTCTTTGGCTTCTTCCAATGTGATGCTCTGTACTGATGGTGCTGACGCCTCAGACTGAATCAAGGCAGTAACATCAAAGTGTCTCAATCACTACAGCAGTCTTTATCACTGCACTCTCAGGTTTTTTTTTAAAGGGGGGGGTTTCATTACATGTCTTGAGGAAACAGAAAAATAGATTCTTTTTTTATTAAATCGTGACCTTGGACTGGGTATTAGAAAGACATGAATTAGACTGAACACTGTAAGTGAAGAACTGTACCATTCGAATGGTCTCACTCATGTCCCAAACATAAGCTACCACCAATGTCAAGAGAAGTTCACAAATTAACCTTTACTGTTCTCTGCTGTTCAACCTCTACTGTGTCCTACTACTGTGTCTAAACTCTATTCGAGAGCTGTGTGCAGAAACTGCATTTCTAAGTACATGCAGATCAGAGAAACGTAAAGGTGAGAAACAGCCAGTGACAAGCACCGCATTCCGCAGCAGCTACTCTTGGTAAGCAAGGGGCCTGTCCCTGTGTACGGGAGCAGCTCGTGTCTCTTCGGCTAGTGCGAAGCAGAAGACCTTGCCTGTGTCTGTGCTTTTGGTACAATTCCTGGTACCTAGAATGTACCCTTTATTCAAAGCACAAAAATAAATATTTCAGAAATTTGCCAAAAATAAATTGTGACCTTTGAGTGCACGCACCTTTTTTTACAGTCGATGTGATAAATGAAAAGTATGCGGGAAATCACCTTTAGATCCTGACTGAAGGACGACTTAAGGGAAAGAATGTGTCTGATTGCTGGAGTTAAAAGCCACTTTTCAGTGGAACTTTATTTTTATTTGGAAGAAAAGCTAGAGACTCAGTGGACAGCTTGGAGGGCAAGTGTGAGGCTGGGGAGCAGAGTCCTGGGGAGCACACCAGCCATACTGCTGGGAGGCCTGGCAAGGGGCGAGAGAAGATAAGCTAATACATATTCAGACTTGGCTATCGGGCAGACACTGTGTCAAAAGTCTAATTCACTTCCTTAAAGAGAATTTGTTTCCTTAAGGGAAGCAACCAACAATTACTGGCTGCCAAATACAAAATTTAAATTTGGATATTCATAAAAGACTGACCACTTTCTAAAAGTTATTTTTATGAGCTCATTGGTAAAATATTTTAAATGCAAATGTGTAATGTGTAACAATCTTCACGCTGAATGTTTAAGCCAGTATCCAAAACTAAAGATCAATGCATGCTACAAACTCCTGCATGGGTAAAGGGGCCTTTCAGGGGTCTCAAGCTACAGCACAGTGAATAGGGCATTTGCCTTGCACACGGCTGAATCGGGTTTGGTTCCCAGCATCCCATATGGTCCCCCGAGCACCACCAGGGGTAATTCCTGAGTACAGAGCCAGGAGTAACCCCTGCGCACTGCTGGGTATGACCCAAAGAGGCGGAAAAAAAAGGGGGCCTTTTAGAATGCAGGGTATGAGAAGTTGACCCATATAGTGTCAGACTCTACTGCAACTGAAATAATATAATTGCTGAATTTGATGTGGTGTAAAAAAAAATTACTTGAAAGACTATTAAATTTTTATTCCTTCCTGTTCCAGACAGGAACCCAAGAGTCCCGTCTGCAACCCAAGAGTCCTTTAAACGACTTCAATCTAGGGACAAAAAGGTAGTACAGTGGGTAGGGTGCTTGCCTTGCATGCAGCTGATCTAGGTTCAATCCCTAGCACCTGATAAGATCCCCAGAGCACTTGAGGAGTGATTCCTGAATGCAGAGCCAGGAGTAAGCCCTGAGCAATGCTGGGTGTGGCGCCAAAACAAAAATAAATACTTCAGACAAACTAACATGACAGCAGTGACTGCAAGCACATATATGACACTCAGCTACGGTCTACTAACCCAGACATCTTACACTAAAGCTTGAATCATATTAACGTTATCGGCACTGATTACTCTATGTACACAAGACACTATCTAGCATTTCTGTGGAAAAAAAAAATCTAAAGTAAAATTGCATTGATGCAAATTTTATTCATTATAGACTGTGTCCAAAAAACTCAAACACTGGTGATTAAAAATATTAATCCCATGAGTGTGCAAATCTTTTCCTGTGGAAACTTAAACCAGAATCTTAGACTTAAAAAAAAAAAAAGCAGTTAAGACGCATAATCTTCAACCTAAGAAAAAAACCACCTCCAGCAACGAAAGGGTGGAAAATTTCATCTAAACAAACGCTCACTCAATAAATAGCAGGCACTCAGCCCATGGGAATCAGCGTGGGGTGTGCTAGTCCAGAAATGACAGATGGGTCAAAGAGCTCAGGGGTTCTCACAGCTGTCGGAAACTTCCGAAGGCTGTGGGTGGCTCACAGAGGAGATCTGCTTTACAGTGTAAAGGTGCAGCAGGAATGGGAGAATCTGGGAAGCCACGTGACAATAAAAAAAATGTAGTTTGGTTCTGAAAGATGAATGGAGGCTGAGGTAGAAATGGAGAGGGGGATGGGTTGGGAGTTGGAGGACAGTGGATAAGACACTTGCTCTGCTTTGATCCCTGCCACCGCTTATGGGTTCCCTGAACACTGTCAAGATGGATCCCTGAGCACAGAATCAGGGGTAAGCCCTGAGCACTTCCAGGTGTGAGCCAAAAGCCAAAAACAAAAGAAACGGAGAGGTGGAGAAGACAAAAGCATTCAAAACTACTGCACATCACATGCTTTGATTACTCTCGATGAGCACAACCCAGGAGAGACGGTGAGAGCAAGGAGAATACAGGGGAGGAGGAAGAAGACATGCCAATGTCAGAGAGACAGGTCAGGATATTTTAGAAGAGCCATATTTCATATTTCATGGAGGCTGCTACCAAGGGCCACAAGAAAGAGTTGCAGGATCCACATTTGCAGGAGTGGCGATGGGAAACCAGCCGTTCATTCACTAGCCCTAAGGAGAGAGGGCTGACACTTTTTGGGGAAAGATGCTCGTTTGGAGGAGGGGGTAAGAGAGGACGGCAGTGGTATTAGGCTTGGTAGGGAAATATAGGGGACCTTGAACATAAACCTGGGGAGAGACACCCTCCACCCATCCCTCCCCACAAATAGTGCAAACAACTATTTTTGATAAACCACTTCCCAATGAAAAGAAAAACAAATGGTAAATCCGCTTGAAAACCTTAAATTAAACCCGAGCTACAGGCATGTCAGCAGCAGCCACATGGGGGCTCTCTTTAAAAAGCCCTCGGAGGCTTGAATTGGGATCTGTTATTTTAAAATCCATCCATCCATCCATCAATGGTTGTTCTATTATCAAAATTAAGCGAATCTGGCATTTGCTCATTATCAAAAACGAGAGAAGAGAAAGCCTCAGCCCTACCTTTTCTGCCTTTTTGTCGGAGATGTCTTGCTTCTCCAGCACAGCCATGCTCTCCTTGAGGTTCTTCACAATGTCTGCGGGCGACTTGTGAGACTTCCCAAAGGGGAACGGCATGGCGGCGGCGGCTGACGCTGCTCTGTGCTCGGCCGGCTTTACCTGGGGACACAGCAGAAAAAAGCTCAGTGAGAAAAAGTGGAGATAAAAGAAAACACCCTGTCTAAATCCTGAGGAAAAACGAAACAAACCACCAGTGTTTGAAGATGACATTTTACATGGCTTTCAAAGTCAGTGGGAAGAAGGAAAGCCACCAACAAGCATACCCATACAGGGCTCTGCAGAGCTCTCAGAACCATGGGGGCCTTCTGCACTTTTCATCACCCGCTTCCCTAAACACCCGACTCGGGGAACACGGAGGTCACCCTCTCAAGGGGCAGCAAGTCCTACCGGTGCTAAGCAGATGGATAGGCCCCAACAATCCTCCGTGGAACAGAATGCCCATAGCAGGGAGGCTTCAGAAGGTCCAGAAACTGACTCATGGTAAGCTCAGGTTACCTTGACCCCAAGTTCATCACACTGGTCCTCCAGTGACTAGGCCCCTCTAGTTTAAGGCTGAGGAAACTGAGGCAGGAAGCCGGGAGAGGTGCTTAGGACCCAGCACTAGCAGTAAGCCCACCAAGGATGTCTCTCCCAAGGCCTCTTCCAGAGTTGATGCTCATCCTCCTAGGCACCAGAGTCCCTAGGTGGCTGCAGAGTCCTGCCACAAGCCCCTGGCACTGTGTCCCCATCCCAGGCAGTCATAGGTCCCAAAACAAGAGGGAATGCAGGCCATCTTCCATCAGATCCTCAGACGCCTTCCATGTCAGTGTCAACATGAAACCTCTCTGCCCAGACAAAACTACTGCTTACGAAAGAGCTCACTGGACAACACCCTGGGGATAATGAAATTCTGGAAGTTCTTAATTTTTTGTGGATAGCAAAAAACATTTCAAATAGACAAACCACAATATTACATCATGCAAAAAGGAGGACATCAACTATTCCAAGAAATCATCAAGAGAAAACAAAGTTAATAAGACAAACAATGGGAGTAACTTGGGAATTTGCCGGAAGTCACCATTTCTTATACAAAATAAAAGAAGTAAAACTCAGAAGTATTAAAGAGCCTCATATAAGATACCAATAGATCATATTTTTGAGAACCTGATGGGTCACTTAGATTAGATCTGTGGTTTTCTGTGTTTTAAAACAGAGGTCATGCCCAAAGGAGCATAACGTGGAGTTTAGGGAGGGAAGGGCATGTCAGAGGGGGATGGGAACCTCCGGGGCTAAACCCACGTGTGCTGGGTTGTGGGTGGGGGAGTAGAGGGTAGTTTTGCTGTATTGGGTGCTGAACTCATGGCCTTTCACACGCTAGGGATGTGTTCTACCTCTTGAACTATCTTCCTGGCCCCCAAAAGAGGGGCTGGGTTTTAAAGCTGTCAATTCCCAACTCTTCTACTTAAGCTGCCCACCCACCTCTGCCCAAGCAGAAAGGTATCTCGCCCTTGTTAAATCATCTCACCCTACAGCATCATAACACACCATTTTTGGGCTTTTTTTTGGGGGGGGGGGGGGGTGAGGGTGTTCCACCTGAATAACCAGAGTTGTCAGGTGTTATTCCTGGCTCTGCAGTCAGGAATTTCTCCTGGCAGTGCTCAGGGGACCTTATGGGATGCTGGGGATCAATCCCGGGTTGGTCACATGCAAGGAAAATGCCCTAGCAACTGATTATTCCTCCAGCCCCACTAACACATCATTTGAACTTTGCCTAAGATTTCATTTGCAAAGAGAAACAGTACAAATTCTCTAAAGTTCGCAATAAGGTGGTCTATAAATAATTATGAATAAACATTTAGGCAAAGAAAACATACAAATGAATGGAATGTCAAGCTGACAACTGAATCCTAAATAAGTATATTACTCATCATGTTTTGATTTGTCTGTTCTAACCAATCTTTTAAACCAAATATCATCTAGCTTGTAAACCCCACCCATCTTTTTCCTGTGGTGCAAGGGACTGAACCCAGTGTCTCACATACGCAAGGCATGAGCTCTACATTGGAGTTGTAATCCCAGGCCTTTTATGTCCTTCAGCAAGAAAAAAATGTTAAAACTATTTTTTGAATGTTTGTTTTTTTGGGCCACACCCGGCAGCACTTGAGGGTCACTCCCAGTGGTGCTCCAGGCAGCATGCTGTGCCCAGGGTCAGGCCTAGGCCTCGTGCATACAAAGCCTGCAAGCAGCCCACTGAACTATCTCTCCAGCCCCGTAGAGCTCACTTACCAAAGAGAAATATCCTCAACCACAGGTTTTCAAGATACAAAGACGCATAAGTGATTGCTGAGTCTTGTGTGTGTGTGTGTGTGTGTGTGTGTGTGTGTGTGTGTGTGTGTGTGTGTGATGGTGGGAGGGGCGTGTGGGGGGGGGGGCGGAGGGGAACAAGAGGGTTGTTGTATAACACCTAGCAACCCTCAGGGCTTACTCCTGGCTCTGTGCTCAGGGATCTATCTCGATGGTGCTTGGGGGACTATATGTGGTGCCAAAGATTGAAGCCAGGGTTGGCCTTGTGCAAGGCAAGTGCTTAAACCCCTACCCAAAATGTCTTTTCTATGACAGCTGCTACAGTTTCCCTCATTACCCTGGTAGATAGGACACCAAAACTCATTGCCCTTGTTCATTATTTTTTTCTCTTTATATTTGTGGGGTGGCATAACACAGATTTCTTCTCCATCCACTTAGTAGATTCACAGTAAAGAGTAAATTCTCTGAAAATGTGATCTTTCTCACTCGTACTCTGCAAATAATAGCAGTGATGCTAAAAGACAAAGTTGGGTGGAGGGTGGGAATGTTTCACGGTATTTTGCAGGAAGTGTTAGGGTGCTATGCAACAGAGATATTTTGAGCTCTAGTTCAATGGTGGAAGAAGTGACTTTCCAGGGCAAAGAGTTTTTCTTCTTTTTTTTTTTAAAGTCCTAGCACACAACACATTATCTGTCATAGCCCAAGACATGTGTAGGGCTGCCTAAGAGGACGCATATCTAAAATTCTTCTGTGAGGCAAAGGAGAGGCACAGAATTCCTTTCAATTAGTATACCAGGTAGACAAGACACTGCAAGGGACAAAAATGAGTCAAACTGTGGCTTGAAAAGGAGTTAGGAACAAGTACCCCAAACCAGAGAGAACACTTGTCAGCAGGACCAAAGCTACTTCAGTTAAATTTCTCCACAACTCTTCTCCCTCCCCTTAATACACTTCATAGATTTTTATGAGCTAAGCTGCTTTTTTTTTGGGCTGGAGCAATAGCACAGCGGGTAGGGCGTTTGCCTTGCACGCAGCCAACATGGCCGACCCGAGTTCGATTCCTCCGCTCCTCTCGGAGAACCCGGAAGCTACCGAGAGGATCTCGCCCGCACGGCAGAGCCTGGCAAGCTCCCCGTGACGTATTCGATATGCCAGACACAGTAACAACAAAGTCTCCAATGGAGACGTTACGGGGCCCGCTCGAGCAAATCGATGATCAACGGGAGGGCCTTTACTTTACTTTAAGCTGCTTTTTAAAAAATTGTTGCTGTAAAAGCAAATAATTCTTTTTTTTGCCTTTTGCCCAGTGATGCTCAGGGGTTACTCCTGGCTCTGGACTCAGGAATTACTCTTTGCTGTGCTGGGGGTACCATATGGGATGCCAAGGATCGAACCCGGGTTGGTCGCATGCAAGGCAAACGCCCTACCCGCTGTACTATCGCTCCAGCCCCAAAAGCATATAATTCTTAATTTAAAGCATGAGAGCAATTATTAGCAAATCCCTTTCTCTCATTTACAATCTCAGATTCCATTCTTTGACAACTATTCAAGGTTGGAAAGTAGGGAACCAAAGAAATTACATCCCTGAAAGACTCCATATTAGAAAAATTTTCATTTATGTCTAGGTTTGTTGTGCATTAAAGCTTGAATCTTTCACTAATGTATGACAATCAATTAGTCAACTTTTTATATAATCAAAAACAAAAAAATTCATGAATGGTACCCAAGTAGACAATGTATGTGCCTAGCGCATGGCTCAAAGTGTAAGAGAAATGTCCTAAGAAATTCAGTGCGAGGGCCAAAGATGTGGTTGAGTGATAGAGTGCATACTTCTAAGGGAGGACCTTAGTTCCAGCCCTTGGTATTACACAAATAAAGAGAAATTAGTTCTTAATAAACATGTTAGATTATTTTGTAACCAAATTTATAAAAACAATCAAGAAAGCAAAAGCAGCTACACCAAGGTAAATATACAAATACAGTGGAATCATGGATGTTTCACATAAATGTGTTCATTAAAGATGTGGAGATAGACTCCAAATCAGTAACCGGAGTTGAAAGAAGTTATACACAAGAAGGAGAAAAGGGGAGAGATGGGGTTATGGTACTGCCAGCAGGTCAATCTACCTGAGAGGCGAGTGCATCAGCAGCCTGATGGCACCTTCATATTTCCAGATACCCCAAAATTGTTGCTGTGCCTTTGGCCAGACCCCAAAAACTTGAGGCAAAGTTTACCAAGAAAGTAAACAGCCAAAAATTAGGTATGTGGGAGACACACCCACAAACCACCTCTGGCTCAGCTATGTAATTGGAGGCATGGCCTCTCTGGTTCCTGATTGAACTGTTTAATGGCCATGATCCCAGAGACTCAGAAATAAATCTTGAAACCCAGCGGCTTTGGGCAAAAATGCGTCCGGTCCCTGCAGTAGGTTGCTGGCGCTGGGCCACCCCAGGTGGGAATAGGTTTTGTGTCTTGGCCTGTTCCCCCTGGCAACCTGGTGGCTGCCATCCTCCAGAGGCCACTGGACAGTCTGGGCCCGGAATGACAAGACACACGGGGCCTCATGGGATGGGGGTGGAACCGGTCCTTTCTTCCCCACCCCAACGAGACCCCACGTCGCCACTCACAAACAGCCTCTATGGCTCCTGATCAAGCTGCTTAATGGCTATGATCCAAGAGACTCAGAAACAAATCTCGGAACCCAGTGGCTTTTGGCAGAAATGCGTCCGGACCCCACAGTAGGTTACTGGTGCCGGGCCACCCCACGGGGGAAAGGGTGTTGTCCCTCTGCCTGCTCCCCCTTGGCGGCTCGGTG